CCCCAAAACCCCAAAACCCCAAAACCCCAATTACAGGAAGAAAGTTGAACTTTTAAAATGGATTTGAAAAGGCGAGATTTAAGGATAAGGCTCAGGCAGAGGAATCTGGAAGGGAAATAGAAGGAGAGGAAATTTGGGGTATATGGTGGGAATAAGGAGGTTTTGGGGTACTAGGAAGAGGTTTAGATGGGAGAGAGGGGATGGATTTGGATTTTGGAAATTTTAAGTTTTTTAATAAATTTTATTAGGGTTAATTTCTTTGAAGTTTCTGAAGAAATTAGAAAAATGGTACTGAAAATTTGCCAAAACGTGTGATGTCTGTAACAACTGATTTTAGATCAGAAGAAATTTGATATTGTTGAGCTTGCTCTTGTAACTAAAATATATGTTAGTTCTTCCTTGTTTATAGCTTCTTGTTTCTTTTTGAGGGAAACAGTAGATATCAGATATCCCAAAAAGTGATATAATTACTAAACCTATTATTATAAAATATAGGATTCCTTTCTGAACTAGTTCATGTCAACCAAGTCTCTTTCCCAGTTTATTTGTCTCTCCATTGGTAAAAAATTGAGTGATTCATGAATCAACTATTATAACTTTTATTCAATGTGTGAAAATCATTAAATTACTTATACAACTTCTATCTCTTCAGTTAATATAAAAATTCTGCTGATTCCAAAAATACGAACATTAGCCACTATCCTAGCTACAGAATGCCGATCCTGGAGCCATCATGAGAAGAGTGCTCTCAGTGCATTAATCAGTTTAGCACTAAGATTCCTCACATTTAATTTGTTTATCAGCCTAGCCCCACTGAGTGGTAAATCTAAGCCTTATTAGGCATCTATTATGAGCATCATATTCATGTTTAGAAAACCTACTAGATTACTCAGGTTTCGAAAACTTCTAATAAGAATTAATAATCAGGCCTAGTTAAGACAGCCAGTGAAATGGTTGTTAAGATAACAAACCGGGTCTTTGAGATCGAAGAAGAGATGCTCCAAGTTTGTTGTAGCTCTACTAGTTGTTAGTACTAGCTAAGTCTCTAAGTAGAAGTTTAAGCTTTGAAATTTGAGTGCATTAAAAATATTTATGATAAATTATATCGAAGGATACAGTTAATTAATGCTCTGGATATCCTTCATTGTGATAAAGAGGTCATCCAAAGGAACAAGAGTGTTCTCATCCTTGGAGGGATCTTTTAATTTGAGTGGATTTGAAGAGGCTCTAATTCTTATTGCCCTTTGCAATAAACTCTTGATATCGTTCTGAAGTTTGGGCTGTCTGATAGTACTTTTTGGTACCGAAACTCTTAATGGCAGTCTCTGCTTGATGAGTTTTTGGATGTTTATATCTCATGAGTTTCCTTTTTTGAAGAAATAAATGCTCATTTATTTTTCAATGGCAGAGGAAATGGCTCAAATAAATCAATATCTGGTATCTTTCTATTGAAAGGATTATCAGCCATGTTTTTATCAAGACTGCTTGAGACTTTAATACTTGAAGCAGACACTTTTTCATCAACTACTTCTTCTGGCAAGTCTTCATCGAAATATTTAAGATTGTTCATATTTATTATTATATCTTCCTGCTCCTACTCTCCTATATGGGGTTTTGGGGTTTTGGGGTTTTGGGG